GAACTGTAGGAGAGTAGCACCCCCTACAGCCACCGCTTGAGGCTGAGCAGAAGAGCCAGGGTGCTGTCTCTGGACTTCCACAGCATCCACCTTTGCTGTTCAGTCATGTTAGAGGGGATATGCTTGGCTTTATTATCTGTTACCCATGAATTTGTCTAACCCTTTTTGAACCTGCTGGTACCTGTGATCTGCATCCCTAGCATCCCCTGGAAACAAGTCCTCTTTTAGCATTTTAAACCAATCTTCTGCTGGTTTTATCAAGTAGCCCTAGTGCTGATGTTACAGGATTCTGAAAATAGTTCTGCCTTACTCTCTGCCTTTCTACTTTTGTAAAGCTCAGCCACATTGATCGCAAATCCCAAGCTGTACATACATATTAGACCATGGTCTTAAAAACAGAAAGAAAACCATACTGCATTCCCTTCTTTAATTTTTTCAGCATCTCTTCTAACCAAGAACAGCTATAATGTACTAATTTCAAAGTTGCTGATTTTTGGTGTTCAGTCTTTTAGACTACTAATAACAACCACACTGTGCTGCTCTTCCTTAGCTCCGGAGATGAAATTTGCTTTGGTGATGCCCCAGATCAGCAGATTGAAGCAGGAGCCTACATGCCCCCAACGCTTCTCTCTTACAGGTGTTTCAGATCACATGCAGGACTTGGAGCACAGGATCCAACTGAAGTTACATAGTGGACCTCCATCACTAGAATAAATGAGGATGAAATGCAGGCACCATGCCTACACCTAGAGAGAGATAACGAGAGAGAAGGTCTAGAGCACAAGTCCTATGAGGAGCAGCTGAGGGAACTGGGGTTGTTTAGCCTGGAGAAAAGGAGGCTGAGGAGAGACCTTATCGCTCTCTACAACAACCTGAAAGGAGGTTGTAGCGAGGTGGGGGTCGGTCTCTTCTCCCAAGTAACAAGCAGTAGGACAAGAGGAAACAGCCTCAAAAGTTGCACCAGGGGAGGTTTAGATTGGATGTTAGGAAAAATTTCTTCACCAAAAGGGTTGTCATGCACTGGAGTAGGCTGCCCAGGGAAGTGGTTGAGTCACCATCCCTGGAGGTATTTAAAAGACCTGTAGATGTGGTGCTTAGGGACATGATTCTATGGTTCTCTGTTGACACCTAAAGCAAAGAAAGGAAGAAAGAAAGAAAGAAGTAAAGCCAAGTTCTTAGTTTATCAGAAGAACGAAGCGGGTTTAGAGCCTTTCATATTTAGGTCAATGATTCTAAACTATGACCAATTTACAATGGTAGGAGTTAATTCAGCTAAGCAACTCCTGTGATAACTAGCTTATTTCTGGAGAACAACTCCACCTGGAAAACCATTGTTGTGAAAGACTACACTTTGCCCTAATGGAGAAAAAAAAGTTTGGAAATAATGGCAGCCTGCTACCAAAGTTCTGCCTGCAAGAACTGCCAGTTTGCAAATTGCCATGTGCACTGAATAGTCACTCAAAAATAGTTATTTATTCCATACAAATAGTTCTAACCTTTGCATATACTAGAAAGCATAAAACACCTATGTTAGATGATGCACTTAAAGAAAAAGGGAGTTGAGATGTAAAAAAGAGATTCACACTAAAAGGCAAGGACAATCACAGAAGAAAAGCCATTACAGTAAAAGCACTCCTTCAGGCCATCGACTGTTCTCACGTCACTGTTTACTGCAGGATCAGGTACCTGAAGGTCCCAGTAATCTGGTGACACCACCAGTAATTTTCAGTGACACGCATTATAAGTAATTTCAGAGACAAATCAACCAAAACATTCAGCAATCCAAGTACATCCCAGTGAGTTACAGAGACATAACCCATTTTAAAAATGCCATGAACAGAAAGTCGGGCACCCCCAGCCACTTTTGGCATAGCAGGCTCTCGTACATTCAAATTGAAAGACTACAGCGCATCTTTAAACAGAATTTGGAAGACTAAATAGCTCTACATATAACATTAAGTACCTGAAAAATCATAGCAAGCAAAGAACTGGAAGTTTTTTTTTTTTTTTTTTTTTTTTTAAGTACTCTAATCATAACAGACTTTGGGACTTGGAATCAGGCAAATTTCATACAGTAGCATTTTTCAGGAGCAGCACCTGAATTCAACTTAAAAATTTTGCAGGGGAAGACACCAAAATATCTTGCTAAATGAGTAGTCTTTTATATTACATTTTTATTTTGCAAGAAAATAAATTATACAACTTAAAAAATAAAATTCAAAAATTAAGCAGTACATCAAAATAGTTCAGCTGGACTGCCATACAGAAACTACCACCATTCAAAATTGTACAGCATTATCATCTCGGTAGTGGCACACATTCAAAATTGTAAATACCATACGTAGATAGATATTACAACTCAGGAACTCAAGTTTGCTCAACACTCCAGACTACATATAGTGTATATGACAGGAAAGCTTTCATGTATTGTTTATTTCACAATATGACCTCAAAGAATTACAAAGATAGCATCCCAGTCATTTAGATGAAAATAGAAAACAGTTTGAGTTTAAGATAGCAAATCTTCCTGTAAAACTATGAAATCATTTTGCCAATTGTATTTTTAAAATTTGCACTTTACAGGACAATGGCATCCCAATGCAAATAAATGCAACATATGAACATTCAGAACATTTGCGTTAAGTTTAAAAAGGTGAAAACAAGAAAGTCACATTGTCTTTTGGAAATGTAATTGCATTACAGTCGTAACAAATGAAAGACAGATGAATAAAATTAGAAGCTAGGGACACCAACTGTGGAAAGAGGAAAATGGAAGACTTCAGAATCGAAACCGAGATCCTCATCAAGTTGTTGGGACAGAGAAAGATTTAACAGTATTTCTTAATTAAACCCATTAAGAGTGATTCCCTCCCCCGCCCCCCCAGCTCTTCTACACCAGATTTCATTCCATAGCTATTCACCGTGGCAGTGTGTGTGGCAACATGTTTTTCAGATGCAGCACCTCTTTAAGCTAGGTCTTTGGACATATATATTCATAGCTAAAAATTGCAGCCTTAAAAGTGCGTTGTTGCCATATTGCAAGTGAAGAATAGTTCATTTTCATTTAGATCTGAACTCTACCCTCCCCAAAAGAACAGTTTACCCCAGGTATCTCCCTGTGCCCCAGGTGATACTAGTTTTAAGTGCATATTGGTGAAAGTGACCTGATGAAGGACGCTAAATGTGATTCTGCATCTTTAACAAATTTGCTGGTGTGAGTCTCAGATTTAATAAAAAACCTGACATCCATTTCCGGTATGTATTCAATGAAAAATGACCATGTCATAGGCACATTACCAATTCTCTTTCTGCATCCCAGGTGTTGAGAAATATATAGATAACATTTGGGTTGTATTATTTTATATTTAATAGTTGAGGGAACATGTAGCTCCTTAGCTTTTAGCAACCTGTTGCTTTCTGCATACACTCCAGCTTCCTAAACAGTTGTATCTTAGATGCCGCCTCTTAAACTTCTCTCTCTCAAATCTAAATCAATGGCTTCAAAATCAGCATTACCCCCTTTGCAGTTCTTTCTGCTTAACCAGAGAAGAACAAGTGTGAAACTGTCAAGGGCTGGAATTTTTCATGTTGAAAAGAGTGTACTCAGACTGTCATGTTCTCCCCCAATTATCCCAAGTGAGCATTTATTACTTTTAAGTTACAAAGACTGAAAGTCTTGCAGCAGAAAGCTTTTTATTAGAATTTTGTTTTCTAATGTTCAAATAGTTTTACTGGTTAACTACATAGAGCACCACTTGCTTTTGATTCTGAACTGCAATACTACAGGGCCAACATAAAAGATGCAAGTTTTAAACAGCATCTGCTTTTGAGTATCAAAAAAAGCATGTAACATAAGCTGTGAGATTTTAATCAATTGTAATTGGCCAGGTCTCAACTTCTCTCCATCTCTTGTTCATGAAAACCTCACTACCAAAAATTTCTTCCCCAAATAGATGTCCAAGTACACACTGTTCTCAGGCAGTCACATTGGCTTTTACATTAGTAATAGAGCATGCTGCCTGTTTAAGGGTGCAAATAGCCATTCTTGCAGTGTTAGCTTTTAAACCGCTCTTATTGTATACTTTACTGAAACCATGTGAAAGCAAAACTCCTCCTCTTACTTACTGGAAGGTTCTCCTCTTTGACTAAAGTTAATTGTATCCTCTTCCCCCTTTCAATCATCAAAGAAAATGAGACCTTCAGATGATGAACTTGAACTGGTTAATTAAAAAAAAAATTCACACACTTGCAATTTATAGAATATTCATACAGAACTGAGTAAAGCTCAACTTACCTTTTGTCCCAAGACAGGCACTCTGCTCCAGTGATTCACGTTATCAGTCCAATACATGCTGGGACATTTTAGAGCAGCAGAGAGGCAGGCAGTGCCAAACGACTACTTAAGATGATTGAAAATAGAAGAGGTAACATTAAAAAGTTGAAATTCCTGATGTGTATTTGGCACTCTCTCTGCATACACTGACCAAGGTATCTTCCCTTAGCTTTTTACCATTTTCATTAGAATTATATTTCCTACCCTGCCAGTTTGAAAATAAAAACCAGAAGGTTTGTTTTTCATACAAAGTTGTTGACTTCTAAGCAACAAACCAGTCCAATTGGATTAACCTTGCATGTACATATGAAGTTACCAATGAGGAATTAGTACAGGGATCTTCAAGTGTTATTTTCTTTCTGGGGGAGTTGTGCATCAATTACTCTTTAATGCATTCAGATATATGTAGTCATACTTAAATATTTGGAATACAAATATTAAATGTACAAGGAAATACACTTAATATTTCTGTTCAGTATAACAGACATGAAAACTGCTTTTAGAGTAAAGTATCATTGAAGAAAGCTTTACCTTCTCAAAAAGGATTGTAGCAAATCATCCATCCAAACAAGGTAACAAATAACGTATATCCACTTGTTTACAGCAAACAATTTAAAAACAATGATCTCTTGCTTAAGGAAAAATATCACCCATGACTTGGAATTACTTTTATGTCACTTATGTGTCAATTATTAAAATCCAGTTACTAGATTGAAGCACTGCTCTAGCCAACAGGTTTTAACTGTAACAAATACATATCAGTTGTGATGCATGTGTTTGTGTCTCTCAAATGTTATTACATAAAAAGGATCAAAGGTGGACAGTACATTACTCTGTTGATCCAAAACACAAAAGTGAAAGTGCTACTTCTAGTCCTAATTGCATTAAAAAAAAAAAAAGACACCAAACAAAAAAAACCAAACCCAAAACAACACTAATTAGCAGTTCCTCAGTGCATGAATATTTGAATATTTTTTCCTTGTGCAAGTACTGGTCATCTAAAAACCCAAACCTGTATTCTTCCTGGTGGGTGTAAATCAAATCTACTTTAAAAAGTTCACAATGGGCTCTTCATGAATGCAAGTTTCCCACAAAACAGCATGCTGTTAAAAGTGTGCAACATGAAGGGAATGCCATCATGCTAGCTGAATGAGATTGGCAAAATATAGTCCTCTGTAAGGTAAGGCAGGGATTTTAATACGTAACGAAAGTCAAAACAAGTCCTTCTGCAGCACAAACTGTTGCAGCTGTCTGTCCAAGCACCCTTCCATTTATGTTCTCAGCATCCTGCAGAGTCCTCAAATTATGCCATATATATGAAGGTGTTGATATCTGACTCATCTCTTCTGATATATTTGTGCTCTATAAGCCATTCAATTTGCTCTTTTATCATTTTCTTTTGTGGCAAGAACATGTTTTTCAATATTTCTACCAGTTCAGTCTGAAGCTGGGCATTAGTAATTTTCTTTCGCATTTTCATTATTTGGATGATAGCCTCCTGGTAGGGGACAAGAGGAGAAAAAAAAAAAAGTTACTTTTTTTTTTAAATGCCTGGGTGAAGTGACAACGTGAACACAGCATTAACAGGGGGCTCCTGGTAAGGCAAGACAGCAAGGAAATCTGTATTTTGCCTTAAAAATCAGATATATGCTGCATTTCTTAGCCTAAGTAGATACTGAACTGCTTTTACAAAGAAGTTGGTAAAGGAAAAGAACGAAGCACTGGCAAGATGCAAGAGATGGAAGACAAGTCCAGTCAAAAGAGAATCTGCAGTTAAATCTTATCGCTAGAGTGTAAATTATTCAGTAAAACCTAATGTTCATTCATTCTCTGAGCAGAAGTCGCCATTTCCAGTGTGACTTGTGACATACCTTGTGAATACCTCATGAAATGCAAGCTTAATGTCAAAGTGGAACTCACAAGGAGTTCTCATTTCACAAATGCAACCAGGCATTAATCCTTCTGCTGGAAGTATGGCCAAGATGTTAACTCAGGTGGTACAATTCACAATGTGCATGGCCTGGAATCTAATCTGACTGATAGAACAGACCTGCAACTTGAAGGTAAAAAGGGAATTTTGAGACTCCATTGTAGGTAATGATCTCTGATGCCCGAAAAAATTCATTTTTTTTAGAACTGTCCGCTCAAAAGATTTGACATGAGTACCTGACTGAAGGACAACCAATCACAAAGCAGGAAGCTGCAGTTTGTACACCTAAGGTGTACTTACAAACTTTCCCTCTGAAAAGGAGGCCTCTCAAAGTCACACCGCTATTACTAAAGCATGATCCCATCTCTGAGATCACTCTACTCTCTTCATACAGAGCAGTCAAAAGAGATGTGAAGATCAACAATACTGTTTGTTCGTGGTGGTGGCTCAAGTCAGTCCACTTTTACCATCTGCTGCTGCCATCACCACTACACAGTTGTGCCTTCACCGCTTGCTTAATATCTGCTTTGTCCTCTTTAAAAACTATGACCTGGTACATCAGAACAGGAGGCTGATAACTACAAGTGCACAAACACACATGCAAAATCCAGTATTCACAAAGGATATAAGCCAAATAGCAACAGTAAGTTTCAACAGGATTCAAAAGCATTTGTTTCATACGTCAATGTCCAAATGTGGACAGCATGCAATAATGAAAATACAACAACAGAAATAGGGTAATTTTATATTCCTCTGGCAGTTTACTTGCCTGGGTTCGTAATATTCTTAGCTGGACTATTCCTTCATTTTCCTCTTCCCGCATTCTCTCTGTAGTAAGTTGCAATCGACCAATCAAATTTATCTTGCCCCTTTTCTGAACTTTAGCGTTTTTTCTGAAAAAGTTGTATTGCATGAAAATAAGCAAAAAATACATTTTAAGTTAAGGAATTCCTGTTAAACTTAAATTACATCAGCAAGGAGTAGCATCACATATCAGATATTTATAGGCTATTAGCATTGCAGCAGTGAGATAGCTGGCTGAAAAGACTCAACGCCAATGTCTCCGTACAATAAAACCTGAATATATTAGCATTACAAAAAAATCCATCAGCTGAAACTGACAGTGTCCGAAGTTGAATAGTTACCAGTACTATTTTAAAGAATAAAATTTCAGAGAAACAGATTTCAGTTTAATTATATAAAACTAGGGTTCTTTGGAGGAAGTTCTTACAACAAATATCAGGAAATTGGACTAGTTGATATTCCATCAAAAGAACTGTCTGTCTAGCAGAAAAGAAGGACAAAAAACAGCTATTGTAACAAAGAAAGCTGATGGCATTCTTCAGTGGTCACACAGAAGCTTTCTGTACAGCCTGTCTCTTCTGTCATGCCCTCTCATCATTTCCCAAAGCCCATGATCCTGATGACAGGAACAAACATCGTGGCTCTGGGCAAGAAACTAAGCCCCAGGAAAGCAGATTTATCAGCTCTCTATCTCCACAGATCCAGATATCCAGCTGCTGAGTATGAGGTCCAGAATCTGAGGTTACTAGCAAGGAGCCAGTTTTAATCATAGTCATTGATAACAGAGAGAGGCAAAAACCAAAGTAAAACATGCTGAATGTAGTATCCATTTAGATATTCTCTATACTGTCTTATGGTCTGAAGGATTTCAAAGCACCAGTAAAAGAGCACTGCAATTCTCGCTGAAATAAAGACACTCCTCTCCAGTGAAAGCTACACCAAAAAGCCTGGCTTTTGACAGCATAACATATTATTAAGTAGTTTCACTTCCTTTTTTAACTTATCACTCTGCTTTTGAAACTCTGTGTTTGTGTGTGTGTATAATAATCAATACAGCACTAGGGCTCTGCTTACATGCTATTCTTCCCATATGAAATTTCATGGGCTCATTAGTAACAGGAAGATAGCAAAGCCTCTGATTTTGCACCTCATCCCTAGGTGTTCAAGAAATTTAATTTCACAGCAATCAGAATCATAGCAATGTTTGTCTGAAGGGGCTGCTGGTGGTCATCTAGTCCATCCACCTAGCTGAAGCATGACTATCGCCAAAACTACGTATGGATAGGGCAGCAAAGCATGTGTCTAGCCGAATCTTGAAAACTTTAAAGAACAAGGGTTAACTTCAAGTAAATTCCTTTAGTTATAAAATATTACATTGTTATTTTACTTTTCAAACATCATCTTACATTAAACTGAACTCCTGGTTCACCGAGAAGAGGGTTCCTTCTGTAAAGTCTTTGGGTGAATTGACTTGAGGTTCATACAATAAAACCTGACGTTTCAGCTTTGGAAATGCTACAAGAGACTACAGAGAAAAGGGGAGGGGGGAGAATGAAAATAAAACACCAGACTTTCTAAATGGAAACAATTACTTTTTAAGAACATAGTCTGCACAGCGTGAACTGTAGTGAGGGAACCACGTAGCCTTGTTTGGAGCTAGAGGGCAACAAGAAGATACTAGTAAAACCAGAGAGGGGACACAGTTTAGCAAATCTCCTTCTGAAATGGGTTAGCGTAAGTAAAATCACATGAAGTAAAACGCACGAACTCATAGCTACAGAAGTGATGTTAAGTCTAATTTACATCATTTCTCTCTTTATTCTTGAGCTAAATAATTAAAAGTTTGATAGACCAAACACTGAAGTTATTTTTAAGCAACATTTATTTATCAGGTGCCACTGATTTCCTAGAATTAGACCAGTCCCGCTCCACAAACCACGATCATAACTGTGTGCTTTAGGCAGCATATGGTCAAAAAGATCTTGCTGTTCCCAAAACTTAAGTTAGATAATATTGGGTAGAGAGAATGTATTAATGTAAAGGCTGTGTGTGCTCAGCAGTAGTGCAAGGAGACAGCATTACAACTGATTAATCAGCAATAAAGGCATTCACGTTTCAGTTTCAAAGTGTTATCTGACAGCGCTTTAAAAATACTAATCCAGTATTTCAGAGTACAAAAATCAAGAAGAAATCTGTTTCAAGATAAAGGGAGATACCCATAAAGTCCTCCTAAGTTCTGCATCAGGGAGTTCAGTTGCCAGTTTAAGATTTTCAAAGCTGATCTTCTCTCTGGGTCTTTGGTTCCATGCAAACAGCACAGCTAGCTGAAATGTTGTTACCTCCAAGTCATACTGGCCAACCTCATTCTTAAATGTTATCTGTGAATAGAATGACAATTTTACTTATAAGCCTTTCTGGATCACAAGCTTTCTAACTAATATAAATACACAGAAAGTACAGTCATTGAGACTGATACACCAAAAACTATACACTTACAATTCCATTGGACATGAGGTGGTGCCAGTGCAGTTTTCTACCACTGTGATTCTTTTTATAAAATTCTTCAACTTCAGGGATGAGATCTTCTAATTCCGTGGGCAGCGAGACAAACACTTTTTCAGAACTTCGAGACCAGGCGCCAGCATTTAAAATTTTAATATTCACAGAGTCAGCTGTAAGACAATATTGGATTATGTGAATTTCCAGGTATAACAGATAAACAAAATGCATTTTTTTTTCCTAAATACAATTATGGAGGACTGAATTTTCAGAAAGTAGCAGGGTGTCTACCTACTTAAACATTAAGGTACTCTATGCACCACTGGCTTTCTGCCAGCAACACTGATTGAAATCTCTGGTTTTTTGGCTTGCCTCTGCTGAGGTCCTTAAACCCTGATGCAACTTTATAGCTGATGCTTGTAAGCACTACTCAAGGGTTTTCAGCAGTAGCAGGTCCAAAACTGGATGTTCCTCAGCCTCTCCCACCAGTGAAATTTAATCTCAGAAATGTGATTTAAGCTCTTCATAGCATGCACCCCCAGCCCTCCTGCTGGCAGATAAAGGAGGAGCACAGCGCGAAGCACTCATGACGAATGATGAGTGCATAAAAGAAGGGGGTAGTTCAGGCATTCACCTAGTTGATACTGATTCAAGCCCCTGCTTGGAATTTATCTACAAGAGTAGGGAGTCTGTATCTACAAGACTGCTCATAATGAAAACACACAACACAATAACTTACAGAATGATATAGCTTCAGTGTCAACCGTAAATGAAAGCAGAGTCTACAGACACTTCCAATCTAGGGGTAACAATACCCTGAAGACTATGTTCAACCTGCAGTTCATAAAATTTTTAACTCAAGATTCAACAGAATTATTTTTCGCTATGAGAAATGAAAAATAGCAAATAATTTGAAAACAATACCTGGTAAAGCAAGTTTATTATTTTTGTGCATTTCTTTGAAGGCCTGGTTCAAGTCTTCAGACACTTTGATATCCTGGAACATTCTAGCCAGCTTGTTTACATAGTCTGCTGGCATTCCTACTTCCTGTATAAACAAACAGAACACTAAACTATTACATAGATAACTATGAACAAAAAGCTTTATTTTTAAAATAATAAACTCAAAAAAATGAAAAGCATTAAAGTATACATGTACCATCACTTTACAGTAACAGTTAATCTGCAACGCAATATAAAGTTTTTTTGCATGGATCATAAGTAGTTACCCCTTAAGGGCATATGATGATTCTTTTAAAAAACATCCAAGTGCTGAAGAACATATGCATGCATTAAGAAATCAATGAATTCTGAGACTTGAAGGAATGTTTAAGACATGCAAATAATATTCTAATCTGCAATAAGATTTCACAATTAGAAACATCTCAAATTATTTACATACCTAAACAAGTACATTTTGCTCATTTGCATATGGACTATATGAAGCCTTCAGGTAATATGTGAAATGTTTTAAAATCTATCACTACCACTATTAGGATCAACATTTCTCTTCGAAAAGAGCTAAATTGTTTTACTTTCACAAACTATTGCAATAAAACTGAAGTGTAAGATGTCCTGAGTGGCCTGCAATTTAAGATAGAACTCACCTAAGCAAGAAGGGTATCTAAGTTCAAGAGTGGGAATTCATACCACAAGCAAGAGGCACAAAAAAAGATGTCAGGCTACTTACTCTGAGCCATTCCACCATATTCTCCTCAATTTCACTATCAGCTGATATATCCAATATCAGGCGTCTTGTTAAGTGAGCTTTGTGATATCGCATGAAAACATCTTTATTCTGTACATATTTAAGTACCAGAAGCTGTAAAAAAAAAAAAAAAAAGTAGATTTTAACATTTATTTGCATTGTTGGTCAGACAAGGCTCAGATGCCACTGTAGACTATGAAGTAGAAAAAGGCTTTTTGACATTGCCTTAAGAGCAACTGTGTTAATACTATCACAGGCATCAGCTATGAATCTTTCATAATATCACCCCCCCCCAATTTCTTCATTTGTCAACCATCAAAAACCTTCTCTTAAATCAGAAAGGACATTGACACTGGTATGTAAAAATCTCCCATATTATTTCCTAGACTAACATTAGTTACTGTAATACATTACAGTCTGATATAGCCATTAATTTAGCATACTAATTTTGTGAACTGACAAAGAGACATGAAGCACTGCATGATTTACAAGATTGAAACACACACACACTTGATGACATAATAAACTCTTTTCCATATTATTACACCTTGCATAACCATCTTTGAAGATCAAAGCCTCGACCCACATAAGGAAATAAAACAAATTCATTGTTCAGAATAATTGAGAAGTAGAAAGCAAAAACATACCACTTCTTTAAGCTTTGCTTCAATTTCTTCAGAGGTTAGTTTTTTGCTTAGTGGTGTTTTTCTTAGCAACATGTCACAGTAATTAGCAAGAAGCTCAGGGCATTTGGATTCAGGCTGTGTTTTCAATCCAACACTAAACAAAAGAAGAACAACATATATTCAAACTGTATAGAATCCTGCTATTCTGGAGTAGTCACACTGTTAACAAGACAGGCCACTCTTTCCTGATCCCCTTGGCAAGGATCCTGGTGGTGAATTCATATTGTTGTTAAACTAATGAAAAATTAGGAATAACTCCCTTTTCTTCTTGAAAGAATAAATACTACCAAACGTTTCCAGACAGCTTGATCATTCCAACTGCTTTTAATTTTAGAACTCTAACAATGAAGGATTATGTTGAAGCTGCAGTTTGAATCAGCTAACTATTGCACAGCCATAAGTATTCCAGTAAAGAATTAACAAATGCTGCAGTGAAATATTTCACTTATCTTGTCATTATGCTCTAACAAAAGTCTCAAGAACAGCCTCCTGCACCGCACTTCACAGACTGCAAAACCCAACACATCTATCGCATGGTAACAGGATAAAATTATTTTATAACAGGTATAAACAGTGGACTAACAGCTTGGAGATAAAAATCAGATTAAAGTTGAACCAGAATATGCTACAGCAGACAGACTTTGGTTCTTCAAAATGCATGCAAGCACAAGGTTGCGTTCTGAGCCCGTGCCTAGACTGGTGAATAAAACAGCACCAAGGACCAATCCCTATTTCTAGAGTCAGATGGCACGGACTTGATTGCTAGTCTCAAGGGCCCAAAACAAAGGCAGCAAGTAAGACAGCAGGTAAGAAGCTGCGGGGATGCTCAGGAACCCAGTGTTGCCTGTTCTTTCATCCTCTCATCAGCTAGTGTAGACAGTGCTAAAACTCTTCAGACAACTTGTCCTTTTTAATTCATGAAGCAGCTTGCAGGCTAGTGTCTTCTGCCCTCCTGAACACCATTTGGAGTAAAAGCAGATCACTAGTCTTTTGGTTATTACAAGACAGAACCCTTATTTAATCAATGTGTTCCCAGGTATTTCTGAACAGGAGTCTTCAAGATCCTGACAGCAATGAAAAATTACAAAACTCCATATTCTCAGGCTGAACTTAATAGCACAAGTTAAGCAGGATGAAGTTTCATTTTACTTAAACCAGGCTGCATAAGTAGACAACTTGAAGGAGCTTGGGAACAAGAATGCTGAACAGAAGACCATTGCCATCATGGTGGTTTCCAAGAAACCACTAGGCAGGTTTAGCTTTAGGACTGAAACACAGTTTGAATGAGGTATTGATTTGGGATGCTCCCGGGGAAATGGAAACATTAGCAGAGACCCAAAAAACTCCTCTACCTTGCCTACATCTATACGAAGTACACAAAGGAGGGATCCAGTCTTTTGTGAAGGCGTTCCTCCAATAACATAAAAACAGCAAAGCTAATCCCTCTCCAAGCTTACCATTAGTCCAATACCAAACACAGAGGAAGAACCAGAATGCTGAATAGATGTTTATACCCAGCCACCCCTAACTAGAAGTTATTGGAAAGGGAAGCTGGCAGTGCAGCTACATAAGCTTTTTTTCCATAGTAAATCGGACTACAAACTATATATATATATATAGATTCCTACTCAAGTGGCACATCACATGTTAAATGTTAACAATCAAATTAACTGACTGCTACCTTCTCTTGGCTGAGTTAGAGAGGCCACTGTAAGTACTGTTTTTCTTCCGGAGTCACACAGGTCTGCTTAATCTACTGGAAGTTGTTTAAACTAGCCTGGTTAATGCTGCACCAAAACAAAAATGTAACACCCAGACAGGTCACGCTCACAGCTGGCACAAGAGGAGATGGTAAACAGCTTGTGGATGGTTACACCTTAATCAGGTATAGTTATTCCCATGAAGATTACTGCCTGTCTTCCCCAGGACTTTTACTGAAGTTACAGAAGAGTTATACAGCTCAGGTTTTTGGAATTAATAACCCAGGAAGGTGTTATTAAATTCAGCTTACAAATTGACTCATTACTCTACTATAAAAGACTAGATCCCCAATTACTACAAATAAATCTGATTTTAAACAGGCTGCTATTCACTGATCCACTGCCATGTGAAGTGTTTTACCAGAGGCTGATAAGCAATCTGAAATTCCATAATGCAAAGAACACAAAGCACTTTTAAACAGTGTTAATTTTTGAAGAGATTTTAAGAGAGAAGCTCAATCTTTAACAATTTAAAAACTTGATTCACATCAAGTTTATATGGCTTACCCCTTTTGCTTCAATGGCAATTCAAGTTTAAATATTGTAGCATCATTCACAACTGCTTTGTACGCCTGAAAAATAATTACAGTTTTATTAGTGCTTCACTCAATTTCTCTTTAACATATGGATCACAAAGGTTTCATCCCCTTTTAGATTACTGTAACATGTAATTAATCAGACTTCTTTATTAGCCTGAAGTTTGCAGATTTGATTTTTAATATGAGAGTTGAAATCCTATGACTCAATTTCCCATTAACTCATGTTTTGCGTTTTCCTCTTTTCCATTAACATACTACTTTCCTTTAAGCAACGGCTTAGGAGGGGATTACATGGAGCAGGTTGCATATGTGAAGTCATGAGACTACACCCAAATATGTAGTAAATTCTAAACACAAGTACATTGCTGAATCAGACATTAAGGTGCTCCACACAAAGATCATCTTCTGATGTGCTTTACAACATTACAAAGCTGAACACAAATGCAACTTTATGCATGACTACAACACAAATTAAAAGCTAATCAGTTGGTAGTAAGTTTCATCAACATTTTAGTCTGCATATTTACGAGAGTAAGAGCAGCTTCTAGATTTAACACTGAATGGACACAAGGATTTCAGAGACATCATAATTTGAATTACAACAATTCCTAAACTGAAAACAAATGATCAGCAGAAACACATACCTTATCTCTCGCAGTAAGAAATCTTGGATCATCTTGAAAAGCTTCTTTAACCAACTTACTAAATCGATTAAATAGTGTGAGCAATTGCTCTACATATTTCTCAGAATCCTAAAGTTAAAGAGGCAAAAATCAAATTAGAAAATAAGGCTCTACAGAATTTAGTATCTTCAAGCCTGCATACTATGAATGAGCATTTTATCTTTATTCTCTGTACTGAAGAGCTCTACAGCTTGTATGCCTCAACACGGACTTTCAGGATAGTATTTCCAATATACAAACATCTATCTATCTATATATAAAAATATAACTTTCACATACTGTATTAGTAACTTCCAAAATAAAAAAAAAGTTTTCAAGGACCAATAAAAGGCACACCCTAATTGCTGCAGATACTCAGGCCTCTTAGACCCAGAGAAAAAGAGCTGAAAAAGAACAGTGGGAAAAAAAACCTTTTGATTTCCACACTGACCAACCACTCTTATATTGAAAGCAAACTTCAAATTTCATCAGGAAGTTAGAATCTGAAAAAATTGATTATGCCTTTTTAATTAAGATGCTAACACAATCCTACCGTAGAAGTACCCCAAGCACTTAATTTATAACGTTTTCTTTACTGCAAATTTAACTCAAGTTTTAAAGCTGTAACTGAAAACATAAGGAATAAAAAATTATTCTAAAGACACTTAAAACTTTCAGTGGATCAAAATTTGATGTTTAAACATAAAATCTTCAAAATTTATTTCCATTCACATGTACATCCCACAAATAGAGTATTTAACTTCCACAAAGTTGTTTTTTAATAAAATAACAATGAAAATACAATACACTTACAGTAGTAATAGTTTCAGCAGCTGCTACCATATCTGCAAGTCCAGCACTAACAATATGTTCTTCTAAGTCTTTTAGCATAGGCTCTATGCCATTCGGAACTTTATCCATCAGTGAAAACATTAAATGCAACTCTGAAAGAGACAAATACTGATAAAGCCACCAGTCAAAGACCTGTATAAAAACCAAAGATACTGCATTTCTGCTAGGGATATCTCAAGTGGAACATGGAATATGTAAAGAACAGATAATCCAATTTATCTCTTAAAAGGAAAGATGTTTTGAATACTGTCCTAATTCTGGTCCCACAGGAAGATTCTTCTGAAGGCAAAGAGAGATATTTCTTGCAACGTAATACCTACTTATGCATATAGCATCACAAGCTTGAATAAAAACCCTTAAAGTCAACGGCTATTTGGATTAAGTCCAGGTTCTCAGTATAACTGCCTTAAAATCCCTGGCAAAAACGGGTCTCAGCTGGAAGCCTACAGAAGTTTATGCAGAAAATTTTATGGATTCAAGATTATTTTTTTTTTTTTAATTAAAGTCAAACAGACCTGTCTTTGTGTATCTTCCAATACCATCTACAATGTTTTGTTTTAATTAAAAGCATGCCAAATTCTAAAGTAACCAAAACTGACTAAGGTAAACAGCATTTTTTTTCCATTCTGTTTTCCCAAAGAGTTTATTTAGTTTTTCTGAAAGTTACCAGTTCAAAAACTTTAAAAACTGATAAGGTTTATTTGTCTTACTTTTTGTGAAGGTACTTCAACACTACTAAAAAAAACAACAAAAAACCAAACGTACTGAAACATCAATAATCATCTTGACAAAGCTGTCCACAAAGGAACACCTGGATTAAGGCCACCAGATTGTTTTAGAAAGACCACAGAGATATGAGCTAAACACAGCAAAGGACTCTGCTTAATGAAGTAGAACAAACTGATCATGGACTCCGATTCTTTTTTCAATAGGAAAAAAGTTGATAGATGCGTTTAGTTCCTCAATGCTATATCTACCATGAAGGGGGACAAAAGCCAGAGGCCCTGTCTTTGTTTTCTCCTCTGCAATACTTTTGTCAGCAACATCAAGATCCTGTCACCAATGAAGATGAAATATATGTTATCAACTTCTGTAGCCCAACACCTGTTGCAGAACCAAACAGAAAAGCAATGCATGGAAGAAAAAAATCCTTTTAGAATGTAACAATGCAAATTAAAGAATGGAAGCTACAACCAACCTTCAGTAAGAATTTGCAGTGTTACTAGAGACAACTCAAAATGGGCTAAACAATGGGATTTCAGGCACCAGAAAAAAAAGAACACCTGAGTCAGAGGTATTCTCAGTGCAATTTAGATGCACTGCAAGTGATGGCAGCACTGTTTTACACAGGGTAAGTCCAAAAAGCTCACTCAACTTTTATTGGATCTTTTAATCTGTACTTGAAAAAAGGGTGAGAGGGAGGAAGAAATGGTGGAAAAAAAGAAACAAAAAGATGTATTAAAGGGTTCTATATCTGTTTCTGTAAACTAGTGATGGCATGAATAATTCAAGAAAAAAAGTCAGTGGTTTCTCCTAATAAACAGTGGCAAAGGAAGACTTCAGGTACATCCCTAAAACTGCAGGAACCCAAAAAAGCCCAGATTCTTCAAAGACAGATTTCAAAGTAACAAATGCAAAAGGAACATTTCACTGGAATGTCTCATACATTATGACACTGAAAGGTAAAAAAATCCATATCGTAGTTGTTGGGGCACTTAAACAAGTTCTGTTTTCATTTTATATTCATAAAAGCCAAGTGTACTTTTTATTTCTTATGAAGTACTTAAAGAGTAAAATTTAGGTCTCCCATCCCCAATACTATAAGCAAAGAAAAATGCACTAAGCCAATTCTGAAAAGCGTTTGCAAGTTATGACATCTTTGATAGTTCTTAGTTGGAAAATCTGACTTCCTTTGATGGCGTGTAAATATTAAGTACTTAATGTAACAGAGTATTTTACAGCAGTGCCCAGCTCATAGCCAAAAAACCCAGTCCTTTTTTGTCAGATGCTGTCTAATAAAGAAAACATCATTAAATTCTTTGGGGTGAGTAGTATCAGGAAGACACATACATAAGCAAAGCACAGCAGAGGATACTATCAGACTTATATATTACTATGCATAGCTCCAGTCTTTAAATACATTTTTAATCACCTGCACCTGCATCCTTCATTAAAACATTTTAAACAGCATAGGTAGGTCTAGGAAAAAAAAAAAAAAAATAGAAGAATTGGAAGAGATGCTTGAGTTCTTATATACTAAATGGAAGTATTTTGCAACCAAGCAGTATCACGAGGAAGACATAGCCACAAGGAAAGAGAGGACTGTGTGAATACTTCAAGAAGTTTCTAAAGAAGGATGCTTTGGATGCTATAGATGAACCCTTCTGAAGCTCTACATTTAAGTAAGCCTCCTGTATTCTCTCAAAGGCTGTAACATATGCTCATAAGAAGTTAGCTGACTTTCTAGATTTAGCTCTGGATTACTGCCAGAAATCATGTTGCTAGATGAACAGATCAGTATGACATAGTTTTGAGGTCAAATATTTTCTGAAATTCTAGCTTTAGAAGTATTTTCTACACTGTTCTAAGTCATAAAACAGTTTTCACATTTGCATAGAAATGAAAACTTCATATAGACATTACTAAATATTCCCTGGCTGCAGTATACCAAGACTTCAAAAGAAAAATTAACTTGTGATTTCAGCTCCCCTCCCCAGCTTTGAATTATGACATTTTCTATTACTTATCTAGTTTGGTTTATCATACAGGACCAACACAAGACTTCTGAATCACACTAACCTCTCAATTTATGGCAGCGGAGTTAAAAAAAAAAAACTTTTCAAAACTTTAAAAAGGCATGCAGAGCTAACTTTCAATACTCAGTGACATACTGGCTATAAAACCAGATGAAAAATTTGGATTTTGTTCATTGACTTACTGGTCCTGCACCAATAACCAGAATAAGAAAAATTTCTCCCTGGTCTTCAGAAAAAACAGCTTTGTAAAGAGATGCTTCACTTTTTTTCCAGGGGGAAGGAGGCAGTGGGGGTGGAATGAAGGGGGAGTGTTTGTATCTGAACGATTCAAATAGAAAATAAGACATATGCAATATTTACCAGTTGGTGAACATGAGGAAAATAAGTTGGAAGAAAAATAAAGAAAAGAGAATGCAAAATATTCTTTTCTTTTAAGTAAAATCAGAGCTAGCCAGTCATTCAACTTAGGGTATTGTACATACAGTTTTCAGAAGCCATATGAAAAAATACTAATCAATGACAGTCATTTTTTATGGGATAAAATTGCCCATGGGCAGTAATGTTTTAGCTGTGAAACACTGCCACCATCTATTAAAAACAGTAATTTGATATATCTACAAACAAATCTATTTTTATGCAGATGATGCTGAGTTCGTCCTGTACTGTTCTTAAAGCTTCACTTACTTTCTGTTTCATTTCGTTTGATCATGCCTTGGCATTCAGCTAAAATAGTCTCTTTAAAAGATGTCACCAGGGCATTGACGCAGCACTCCATTAGCTGAAATATATTAAACACAGAATTAGCTCATTTAGCCATCTGAACACCAAAGTGTGATCTGCCTCAAGTTTACCATGACACACAATCTAGTCTGTTCTCTGCAACTATGCTCTATAAAATAATTAATTCATTGATTCATAAAAGTATGTGTAGTTTGAATAAAATCTATACAGGAAACCATATTTCTTAAAAATGTGTAGGTTAGTAAATGTGGTAAACTCTCTTCCAAACCAGTAATGAGCTTAATATTTCTGTCACCTCTTTTCTCTCAAGGGACCCACCACTTTTGGAACATCAACTACCCTACTTAGTTTCCAAGTATACATCCAAGAGCTAAGAATAGTTCTCATTCCAGCGTACCCTATTTGGACCAGGCTGGTGGGTTTGAACAAGACACTACGGCTAGATCTAGCACAGAAATTGCTTGTACGTGTCAGGACCATCTCTCTTTTGTCAGCCTCTTTATACAAGTTACAATTTATAGCTGTGCAAAATGAATGATTTACAACTTCACAAAAGACATAAAATACATTTTGATCCACTGCAAAAAATTCAGATTTAAAGGGTATTTATTTAAAATAACCTGTTTCCTGAACTAATTTCACCACAATTAGGAACTATGCATTGCAGTTAAATCCTCCTCCAGAATCTGAACTGTGTAAAATACTGCTCAAGGGAGGCAAAGGGGAAGGAAAAAAAACCCCATCCTTTATATTAAGTGGCCCTATTTCAGCCTAAGAGGAAATCTAGAACAGATCTAGAACAGTTCTTGTGAAATTTGTGAAATTTCTATTGCTCCTTTTGATTGCAAAGAACAATAACTCTTCCAGGTATTCTAAATGAGCACTGAGAAACCCTCTACCTAATAGGTTGGCCAGCTTATTTTCAAGCATCATTGTCATCCACTGTTAAGCATAGCAGAAAAAACAAACAAACAAAACAACCCACACCCAAACAAAAAAAAAACCAAAAAAATCCCAACCACAAAACATACCAGTCTCAAAGTGAAAGAATAAAAATCAACCTGAATAAAAACCTGCCCTTCAATCTGAACTCTGATCTATGTTTACTATTAAAACATCTATAGAAACTGTAAATTGCTAGATTGGAAAGTAATACAGATTTTTGCAAGAAAAAACATAATGGATGATTAAAAAACATAAACCTAACAGTTTCATATCAATCTACTGCTACCAAATAATACCGTAACACACACAAAAATAAAAATTGCAATGTAATACTACTATATAAAATACACCAGTTTTTCTACACATTATACTTACTGCTTCTACAGAGTTACATTCACGCCTTGTTTCTAAATATCGTAGTGCTCTTTTCTCTTCTTCTTTTAGTTTAGCATCTGCCTGCGCAAAAGTAGAACAGCAATCATTTTAAGTACTAACACTTTCAGAACAAAGTTACAACAGAATTTTTACTTACATATTTCATATAATTCTGTACACCATTTTGTTGTAAATAAGAAGGAGCCTGTGTTCTATAAAATCTCTCTGTTGAATCCAAATACGCCTTTTCAAAGTTATCCCGATATATCTGAAGTTTATCTTCAGGATTAGAACAAAGGTTAACTGCAAAGAGAAAGTCCAAACTTACTCTCAAGTCTTGGAAAATTATGTTGCTAATAATAAGCAAATCTCTCTCATTAAAGTGAGTCTTGTATTAAAAGGTTGCACTGAACAATTTGAAGTATCCTACAAATGCACTCTGATCCCTAAAGGTAACCAAAATTGTCCAGGTTTTGCTCCAAAAACATTTAGATTAACTATAGGGAACTGGAAAGAACTGCATACTTATCTCCAGCATTTTAGAAATTCAAACGTGGTAACGAGAAATACACATACAACTGCAAAATTGGAAAAAAAGAGAGAAAAAAAAGTTCAGCATAATGCCTAATGAAGTGAAAACCTTTCCACCTGACTGAGCAAACAACTTTTCTTACACACTGTTCTTAGAATCCCAATGTCCTCATTTTAGACTTTTTTTTTTTTTTGCATTGGGTTTTTTGTGTTTTACAGGAATGGAGACAGTGAACTTACTGCAGTGCTTTGCACTATTTGAAAAAGTTTCCACCTTCCTCTCAACTGTTAAAGAGAAATAAATAAAGTCCTTAAATGGAATATGCTTTAAAAAAAAATTAGAATTGGACATCTATAAAGCCATCTGAGAGAGTATTAGCCACAAGTTTAATTCAACAGGCTGCAAAGCTTTGAAGAAGCAGGCGGTAATGGTGAAGTATCATTGAAGTTTCAGATACACAGATCTGTTTTGCAAAGAAGACTGAGAGTCTTAGATGCAGCCTGTTCAGCATTTCCTCTTCAAAGTGTCTGAACAATCAGAAACAGTACAGAAAGGAGCACAAAGTTATATCTGCAACCCTAAAGGTCAAAAAGTAGTTGCTCTTTGAAAACACTGATTTTGCAGTAACCAATATGTAGCTAAATCACTTAGAAGTTAAAGATTTTAAACAGAATTTAATTGGTATCACGTATCAAACATAAAAAAAATCAATACAAAATGCTGAGATAATCATTCCAACCCTGCCATAATTGTCAACTTTGTATGATGAAAATTCACCTACTAAAGCAAGGAGGCAATAGAGATCAGTCTGTGCAAGACATACCATATGATTCTCGAACTCCAATAACAAGCTGAGAGTCGAAAGCTTCTCCTAGTCTTTCAGCATGAACTAGCTTCATTGCACTGTCCTGAAGTCTATTTTTTATATTTGAAAATATGGATTCATTCCAGGTGTCTAGCATGAGCTGTGTATCAGGAAGAAAAAAAACCAAACCTGTCAGGTACATGCAAACCTAAGTTTGTGCAAAAGAAATACAAGAGATCAGAAGAAGAAATCAAGCAATTTATAATGTAACTTTCAGGTTATATACAGCAGTTCAACTACCTTAGAACTTGATCTTGCTCTGAACTTGTTATAGAAGTAATATTGAGCTTATATTCTAAGCTTAAGTTATGTAACTGGATAACTAAGGGAATTACTATTTGATTCATATATTAATCCCACAATTCTGTATTATTTCTACAGTTCTCAGTAATCAGTCAAGTAACTTTCCCAGCAATGCAATATGTCAGGAGTTGCAATATCAGGGGGTTCTTTTGAGCCAAACATCCAAATAGAGCTCACTATTTGGCAGGCTCAGTCTTAAACAAAACCAAAAATTCAGTTAACACCACAGTTATGTAAAAAAAAAAGACTGATGGTTTTGGATTGCATTTATCTAACATGAAAGTTCAGTATGCAAGTAACGCATATGTAATTTATAAAAAACTGGAAACCTCATCTAAGCACTGCAAAGTTATAAAATTAGTTATGGAGGCTCCTAACAAAATCCTCAAAGGGTGCCTTCATATTCCCATTGTGTCTTTTTTTTTTTTTTTTTTTTTTTTTTTTTTTTTTTTTTTTTTTAATGATTGCTACTGACACTGCTGCAAATGTATTGCATTACACCTTATCACCAGACCCAATGTGCTGCAGCTGAGCAACAGGAAAAGCTCACTGGCAGGCCAGGCCATGCTTACATCTACCTAAGCTCCACCAGTTGTTCAGCAGTAAATACTCAAAGCATGCTACATGTTTGCTAAAAATCTTAACTTGCTTTAGAATTCAAGTTACTGTGGTCATTTTTTTGCCCTTAGACACTGGATATGGCTCTTTCCATATGCCACAGAATGCTTAAAGAAATTATGCCAAAGCTTAAAAGATAATTTTTATTTTTTCTATCCAACTTGTGCCATTTCATTGCTTTAGAAGAAAGCTCAAACTTACAGTATCTTCAAATATGACAGTATCTGCTATGAATGTAATTTAAGCATGCCAGTTGTCAGTCCACACTGGCAGTGGAAAGCAGGTTGGAATCATAAAATTTACCATTTCAAACATTATCTCGTAAATGTGAATAAGCTTACTAAAAACGAGCTTAGGAAGACGACACAGCTGTATGGCAAAGTTAATAGTAAAGATTAGATGGTCTTGTTCCATTCTTGCCTGGTAAGTTTTAGATTTTAACAGAGCAAGCACCTAATAAAAGTCAGATAACCTTTCAAGAGAGTTTACCATCCCTTATTCTTAACTTTTCCATAACTGTCTCTCAACTTCAGCTAAATTTCCGTTTCTGACACTGAAGTCATATGTGTTGGAAATGAATTATTGTTCAAAACACTGGCACATTCTTAGAAGCAAAGCTTTATTTGATTACGCTTCCTTAATTACTTTTTTCATTATTTTAACATTACTGATATGCACATTATGGTTGTGCTGTACAATTATGTAATTGGTTTACAAGAGCTGAAATGAGTAAAAAGTGGAGAAAACAGTGAGATAATGTCAAGCAATCTGGGAGGCATGTTAACAGCTTTGTCAAGGTCAAACTGGTTTTAGACATTATGGATAAGGAAATTTTATGGAGATATTTGAAGGAAAACACACATATTTTGGGTGACTACATGAACTTCTCAAGCATGGGAAAAGTTTTCACAAAGCACTTTTTAGAAAACTAGAGAGAATGATGCCAGAAACAGGAAGTGACCTTCAGCAGTGAATATGAAGTAAAATAGGTTGGAGACTCTGGGCTTTGATGTCCCAGTCATGAGATGGTCCTAACTGGACTGCATATGAGAGATAAGACACATCTCCATCAGCTTCAGTCCTGAACAAAATCTGAATTTTTAGACACCAGTTCCTTCTCCCGCTTTCTCCTCACTACTTTCTCCACTCCACCTTGTTTTTCCTTTCATTTCTTAGTTCTCCAGACTTCTGCACACAGCAGAGTTAAGAGTTCAAGTTTCCCAGATCTTGGACAGCCTAATGAGATCACATGCTTTCTCCAACAATGAAAACAAAAAAGGTAACTTGAGGTGGTGGCTCCTCTCTTTGCTGCTGTTCTCTCTTCCTTTTCTTCAAGAGGTATAGAGGATCAGATGTCAAAATAGGAGGGCGAAGAAAAAAAACCTTGCCCAAAGTAATGCATTCGAACTATTCTGATCTTCCCATCCTGGAGATAGGGGGACAGTTAAAATGATCTTCAGTACCAAAAGATTGCTAAAGAAATTTCATCTCCCTACAGGTACTTTCTGCAATGAAAAGGGATAATGAATGATGTTAAACTGAAGGACTTAACACTTTACAACTCATGTGCTCCGATTTTCTTGCAATAAAAAGACTAAAGCAATTTCAAGGATCATTATTCATGGGACTCAGAACACTGAGCACTCCATACTCAAAACCCTAGACTTTCTTTACATGTTTGGTATAAAATAGTAAAAAGATCACATTCACAAGATTCTACATGTCCAATCTTTTCATTGATATGGCTGACAGTTTGGAGGAAGAAGAGGAAATTAGGAGACCAATAGCTATATTTTCACCCAGGGAAATAAACTAGGTGTAGAAAAACTACTCACTTGTATATACAAGTACGCTTGCTACTCACAAGTATAGAAACAGTAGGCGAATTTACAACTGCCTCCCATCCCAGGATTCAAGTCATAATTAAAATACACACAAACAAGCAAAGAAATAAAAAAAAAAAAAATCCCCAAACAAACCCAAAGCCCAACAAAGAAGTGCTTTAATCACCTGAACAAAACTGTTAATAGCCAAAGCAAAACTGGAGAAACAGAGTGAAATTATTGTGAAGAGAAAAAAAAAAAGTTGCAGGGTTGTTCTGACCCTTACACTGAAGCAAAGTGATGCATCATATTACATGATTGGTGCAATTTCATCTTCAGCTACAGAATCCCTTCTCTACTATTACTGTAGGCAGAACAGCATGCAACAAAACTCTTAATACCTATCACTTACCTTTCGAACAATACTGTCTTCTACATTAGACTTCTTGTTGCTGCCCTGCTTGCCCATTAAAGTAATCTCTAATTGACAAAATGGCTTGGGCAAAATATCACACTGTGTGAAGAACTTGCGCCACTCCACTATATATGCTTTTAGTAAAGCTGTATCATCTTGATGACTCAGCACTCTCTGGAGGAGGATGGAAGAAGAGGAGGCAATTTATAAACGATTTTCTGCGCAAAATACAGATTGACTTTGCTTATACTGAAAATAACTCCCCATGTAAAATTCAAATATACAGGTCTATCAGAATAAGAAAGTCTACATATTTAAGTGCCATTTAGTTTAGGGCAGTAGTTATCAACCCATGACATATGGACCATTTCTAAAGGGTAAAGAAAGGTAGCAGCAAACAAGAAGTCAGTACATTTAAATTTTCCAAATGAGCCTTTTTTTTTTTTCTTTTAAGCCATATGCAAGTAAAAAGATCAAAACCTTTGGTCCAAAGGCATGTAACTGGTACAACCCTATCTAAAAAAACCCCAAACCTCTAAGGCCTATGTTACATTCTATACAGTGAAAGGTTTAATTCAATGGCATCTACTAACCTTTCATTAGACCCAGACAGCTAGTTAACTTGCGTATTTTATTAATGCCTGGAAACTACAACTACATTGTACCACAGCCATCATAGTGCCTAAAAAGGTGCCCTTCAAACAACAACAAATGCAGACCATATTGAAGGCCCCAGTTCAGCATAACATTTATGCATGTATGCAAGCAAGCTGTTGGAACTTAAAATTCAACATTTAAATGCCTGGTTATATAAAGACCTATATAAGAAACTATTTTCCTTTAAGCAAAGCCTTAGTAGCCTTAGCCTCTTCACTAAAGAAAGATTTTATAGACTTTCATTTTCTCCTTTCCAAACCTTTGTCATGGGATTTTAAATTTTTTTTTTAATCTCACAACAGCCCCCTGTCTTAAATCCCTTATTACAGAAAACATCCTTTGCTATACATTTTACAAACAGAAAAATTTCCTTTGAATCTATTGATGATTTCAATCATTTGGGGGGAAGCCCATAAAACTGGACAGCTAAGCTTGCCGAGTCGATAGCATGGATATTTCCAGTATGCCATACATATGGCTTATTTTAAAGCCATCCATGAACATGTCAGCATAGCACTGAAGCTAGACAAAAAACTACATTTTTTTCAGACAGTAATTTCTTATAGAAAATTTTGCCTCAAGAAGTTTTCAAATGGAAGAATATTCCATAAATACTGTTGGATAAACAAAAATAATGGTGTGTTTTGGGTTTTTTTAACATAACACAAAAATCATTGCCCGCCCCAGTTTCAGGACTGTGAGAAAACAATGAGCCAAGGCAAATGCTCAAGGCTAAGTCTTCTTTTTGTCAATTGAAGTTTGCAGGATAATTATGATCTCCAGAAAAATCACCTAATTTCAAACAAAAAAGCAATGCATTTAGAACCAATGGAAGTCAGAACTATTTGGTTATTCTTCTAATGACAGGAATAGAAGTTATGAAACATTAAGAACTTACTGCTTGTGCCTGTTTAATAAAATCAAGGATGTCTTCCTTCAGTGCCTGATGGATTTTTGCTGGACCTTTATCATCCCACAAGCAAACTGCATGTACATCTCTAGAAAACAATTTATCCGGCTTTTAGTAACAGCTACTCAAAGTTTAATGCTGTAATGTATGAGGCTTAAACAGTCCTAATTTAAGTACATCTAAGAAATTAATACACTTTTTATCTATCATTCTCAAACAATACATGGTTAGATCCCAGTGATGCATGCAAGAAAACATGTTTGGAGAAAAGACTGAAGCTATAAGGAAGTCTTGGAAGCAAGTAACACCAACCTATCTAGGAAAAGGCTATGGTCAAGAAGGAGATGTAGAAGGCAATTCCATTTTCAGTATCTATTCAGTAATCTTTACTGCATTAAGGACAATTTTAAACCTTTTCTTTGACAAAGACAGAAATCACTTGCCAGTAGAAGCATTAGTACTCAGCCCTTATTATTCTAAAATACTCTTTTTAACACGCAGCCTTCACCCATAGATTCACAATCCAAGCAGTACAACATCCTTGTGCTACAAAGGAAACAGATCTTTCTTGTGAGAAATTTGATCTCAGGGGCATCAGGTAATTTAAAAGACATTTTAATTAGTTTAGCAACATCACTTAAACGTTTCATGACAGCAGTAGCATTTTAAAGTGAAACCCTACTGCAGAAAAGCTACCGAACAGCATCGCAAAGCAAAATTCTATTAACAAGTTTTAATCAACATTCAAATAAATTCCTGTTTTTCCTAGCTGACAGCCCAGCAAGTATAATTTAACTCCTATTTTCTTGCCATAATGAAGATTAAATAAAGCAAGTTACACTCCTAACCATGCATCACATATAATGTGGCCTAGCAAGCCTTTTTTTGACTCATTACCTTCTTCCGGTTCTTTCTCCTTTCAATAATAAGGCCACATCTTAGCAGGAAAGCAACTATATATTCTAAAGGTCTGACTTTGTTCCTATTGAATCAATAGTTATTTCAATACAAAAGCATCTTTTTTGGTTTAACTGAAAAGACAAAACTCACAAGGAAAAAATTCCTTTGACATAGCTCAAAGGTGCTGGCCCAGGATTTACAGAGGTCTACCTACCTTGTGAGACTCACGCAACTTTCACATGCAGAAAAAGTATTACTGTATTTAAAATGCCACTGTTTCCTGACAGTAGTGGAAAAAGCAGCACTGGATAATTACACTCAAAGGGCAGGTAGAAGACACCTACAGATTTTGAAATTTTATTAAAAAGCTTAACAAAGAGCACTGTCCAAAAATATGAACCTAGGAGAGTGGGATCCTTTCCCTCAACATCCTTAATTTAGCCATAAAGTTACTTAAGTTCTATTCAATAATTCAGCTACAAGCAAAATAATAAATTGAAAGTTTCAATACCAATGCAGAATTACTGAACTAGTTATTAAAAATTAAAGCAATGACTCAGAACTGAATTTGTACCTTAACTATACCATGTTTCTGGCAACTACTACAGCCATGATATCATAAGAGATTAAAACTCATTACATGTTAAACTACCTTTCCTTTTGGTTGGCAGAAAAGTGTGACAGGTGCAGTTAAGATGGGTGTAAAAAGAATCACTGCACCATCCTCATTAAAAACAGCAATAAAGATACAGACTGCAACAAGACTACATTTAAATAAAAAACACTTTTGTGACAAATTTTAAAAAGCAGGAGATACTACAGATTTAAGTTACAACTGTATTTGAGGGAAAATAACTACGTTGAGACAAAGATTATTTTAGATATACTTTCGATACATATGTTTTAACTCACTTCCACATTATGTTGGCAAAGGTCACATGATGTATTTTAAGAAAAAAATCATTACCTAACAGGAAGCAACTTCTGGGTTTTTGGAAGGAGGAAAATATCAGGGTTTTTAGAACGTACAATAATGCAAACACTGTCTGAAAAATATACATATTATTCTTAGTGTATAAAACTATTCAAATTATACCAGTTAAACTGCACTACCCCATTACTTCAGTAGCATTCTTAAGTTATTTTAGAAGAAAGCCATTCAAATCAGAATAATGTAACATTCAGCAAACTGCCTTTAAATTAACTTACTGCCAAAGCAGTAAACAACACTTTCTCTCTAATTCTAACAAAAGCTTTGTGGGCAGGTACAAAACTTGTTTACTATGATCAGCTGAAGTGAAAAGCTCTGCTGTTCTTTCTCCATCCTACTTGCAAAGATCTGAATCTCAGCAAAACTCTATTTTTGCACATTTACAGTAATGAAGGCACACTTACCACTTAAAACTTAAACTAGTACCGTTCTGTATGTTCCCACATAGTCCACACCATACATGACTTCTGTATCAGAAGTAGTACCATAACTGTATTGCCATTATGCAGAAGGAAGATACTCAAAAATTACTTACGAAAACAGATCAAACCATTGCTGTTTTGTGACAGACTCCTGACGAAGAAGTTTCAGAACGATAGGGCGCATGAAATCCCATTTGTCTTCAAACTGAAGTGAACCTTTATTCTAAAAGGAACAAAAAAATTATTGTTAATTAAACAGTTTCCTATTTAAAGTTATCTTTAAGGATTGCAGTTTCTATGGTTAATGTAAAAACACCTTCTTCTCAGAGGTGTCTCTCATAAGCTAGCATTTGAGCTACAACACCACAGCTGAACAACACTCTTCACAGCAAGTATTACTTTGAAAAGTGACAGAGCTATTATTTGTTTCTTGGAGAAGTAGATTGTCAATGTCTTCCTTTATTCACTGCATTAGCTACAATGCAACAAGTTTTAGCAAGTGTTCTTCACCTGTTAATGGAGTTATACATGGACAACACGAACAATACTTGGTCACGTTCATTGCCCCAGCCAAGACACATACAATGAAAGTCATGAGGCAGAGTTGCAAACCAGTCTTGAATAAATTACCCCTACCAAAATGGCAGCAAGGAATCAGGAGTAGTACCTGCAGACGCTGCCACATACCCTTTTTCTCCACTGTGCATTTGGTATCCACAGCAGAGATCGAGGAAGGAAGCAGAGAATGTAGGAGCTGTTGTACCACAGACTCCCTTCCTGTGGGTTAACTGGCCACAGGCAGTTTGACAGCAAGGACTACAGTTGGTGCAGATAAAAATGATTTACACCATGCTGAAAAATCTAATCCAAGGTGAATTTTTTCAAACTTATGATACAAACTAAGAGGAAAGCTAAAGAAACTAAGTGCTCCCATATCATTCTGATTATTCTGAAAAATCTCACCATAGTATACAGGCTGTCTTCCATTATTAAAAAAACCAAACAACTTTAAGAGAAAAACAACAGTTCTACTGCATATGTTGTAATCCTGTTGGGTTACAGCTCCACATTTTATAAAAAGAAAAACCTGTAATTAAAAGAAATGTTGATTTAGAGTTCTGTGGCAGAAAGACTACTGGTTATCTGCAGCGTTATGTTCCAATGCACTGCTTACTTTTGAACAGATCATAGTCTTGGCTAATAATACGATTTGACACAATTCACTTCAAATACAGCAAATAATACGGTCTAACTACTTGAAATTCTGACAAGTGCACTGTTCTGCCACTAACATCTCTCCAGATAAACAAGCACAACCAGCACACCACGTTCTCTCAACTGTTTCCTTCTGATTAATTTCTACATGGAAATTTACAATTAAATCTGTTATTTAATATTCAGAATAAGCACAGTTTGGAAACTGTATCCCCTGCTGCTCTTAAGTGCAAAGATGTCTCATCTTCAAGTTATAAAGATGCAACAGGCATCACAGTAACTATTTTTACAGCAATAGCACCTGGAGGCCTCACAGCATTATCAAACCATTGCAGTAGGTACTGAATATGGGTCTCACAGAAGCATCCCCTGTTCAATAAAGTTTAGAACTCTTTCAACATTAAAAAAAAATAGAAAAATAAATTGTTTTCCAATTCAGAGACAGTTTTGCCTGTTCTCTTCCACTGTAAAAAAAAAAAGTAAAAATAATAATAAATTGAATGCATCATCTTTGAAAATCAACTACATGCTTCCCCTACATAGAGCTAGGTTTACAATTATTCCCTGAACCTTGATGCATTGCTCTAACCTTTCCCATTCCTGTGAAAACTGTTAGTTTCTACTTCCAGATATTTCTGTTCCCAGTCCCTCTTTGCAGGATAATGAACTTGAAACACCAGCTGCTGAACAGTTAGAAGTTCCAGAAATGGCATTATAAAATAAGTAAAACCAACTTCCTCAAAGTTTTCCTTTGGAGTGAAACTTCAGAGTAAATCCCATAAGTTTTCTGGAAGAGGTAAAAAGCTTGTTCTGCAATTCTGGAGAAGTGTAATTCAGTCCTTCGCTGGAAACAGCTGAAGATAGAAACCGAATGCTCTATCTTTGTGAATAAGACTAGTTTCACTGTAAAACATGAGGTCGGGGGGGGGGGGGGGGGGGGATATTGCAAACACCAGTGTTTATACGATTTACTAGTTCATGCTAAGCAGCACACATAAAACTCCATTTCAGTTGTAAAAACTGCATGTTCACTTGTAATGAACATATACCTACTTAAAAAGAATTCCCCAAATAAAGCTTGACAGAAAATGCCATTAGGGGAGTTTAGAACTTTGTTTGCTATACATAGGAGTAAAATTTTTTTTTTTTTTTTTAAACACTTCCTCCTTTATTCCTAAATTAAGCAGAAGAGGAAATAAAATCAATGGATTAAAAATCCCACTCAGCTAAACTATTCTTTAATTTCAATAAACAATTCAACATCTTATAGATAGATTCAGGCTTCCATGACCATTAATCTTACACTCTTGTACTGAAATTAGAAGAAGTAAGGGTGCGTAATACCACCTACTTCGTGTCATTCACTTTCATTAATTCTACCTCATTAGTGCATGAGAAAACAAAATTTTATAGTAGAAAAGGAGGTCAAATAGTAGTAATTCTTAGCTGTTACCAAAGTCACACATACACCAGTGACCCAGACAACACAACAAATCCATTCCCCACTCCGTTGAGCCACCCACAAACCTATACAATTTCTCAGCAATATTTCCTTAGTAACTTTTCCTTCTCAGCTTGTTGCCTTAAACCATCATTCCCAAAGGAAGGTAAGCAGGAACATAAGTCACACCTGTGACAAAATAAAATTACTCCACTTATCAAATCTTCTCTGAAAACATGGATTACATTGATAGCCATACCCTGGCTAAGTAACCATTCTAGGAGTTTTAAAATTTAAGGCTTTTAAAAATAACTCCACTTATGAAATATTTTATGTTTCAAAAGTCACTTCACTAAATTTGTTCAGAGATTTAAAGTTCCATTTTAACATTAAACTTTACTTGAAATATATACTACTTCACACACTATATTGAAATATATACTACAACTTCATTCTTCAAACTTACTTCTTCCTGTTATTCACTTCTATGCATAAGGACCTAAACACAATATTTTAGGATAGCAGGTAAAAAAAACCTCCCCAGACTATGCTGGTGGATATTATGCAGAATTAGTACAATGATGCAAGTGGAATTGTTCCATTAACCACTAATCAGTTTTCCTGATTTAGGTATTATCACACAACACAAAATTCCTCTCCTTAACTGTAAGCAAGTTTAAGAGAAGTGGAGCAGAAGCAGGCACAGAATATAGTATTAGAGCCTAAATAAACGTGAAATATAACAAGGGCAAGGCACTATAACAAGACTTTCGTGCTACTGTCCCTCTGAACCTTGAAATGTCTATTTGGACATTCAGCTGTCTTTACTGTGTGCTCTATATATTTCAAGCCACATACAAATTCGGCCCTGATCTGTCAGATGCTCTAACCAGTACTGTAAAAAAGCAACATCCTCTACATTTTACTGTATATCTCATCTACATATGAGTAACATCTTCACCTTTAACACTTCACCGTTTTCAGACACCATATATATATTAAGACTGAAATAGCACCTTGTTTTACAGTGAAACTAGTCTTATTCACAAAGATAGAGCATTTGGATTTTATCTTCAACTGTTTTCAGCAACAGGCTGAATTGCCCTTCCCCAAAATTGCAGAACAAGCTTTTTACCTCTTCCAGCAAACTTACGGGATCTACTCTGAAGTTTCACGCCAAAGGAAAACTTTGAGGAAGTTGGTTTTACTTATTGTTGAACTGCAGCTTAAAATTCACTGTCTAATTAATCTCTGCTACCAGCAGCTCTAAAAATCAGTGCAATGACTGTAGCGAAGCTACTACACAAAGCAGAACAGCAGCCAGAGGGAAAGCTTTTCTATGTAACTAACTAGCGTGCAACACTCCCGATATTCTTAAGGATATCCTAATTGGAAATAGGCAGGAAGCAAGAGACAAACTTAAAATACAGATCTGGAAATATGTACTTTAAGTTGAAGAATCCAAAAACTCCAGATATGTTTCCAGTTGCCAGTGACAGAGGCCTGAGACAAAAAAAATAGTTGAAACCAATGCAAAGGTAAATAATGGTTCTCATTTCACTTGTCTGTGGAAAATCTGCTGCTTTCTTTGCAATTTATCTTGCAAAGACAGACTCTTGCATTTGCTGGCATCTCCAGTAAAGCCCTACACAAGTGTCAAGATCTGCTAGCATGAACACATCTACAGGTTTTCTTTGTGCTGCAATAAGCTGAGGTGTTTTCTGTTCCAGAAACTGCAGAAAAACTCACGTACCTTCATGTCACATGAGCGAATCAGTTTAGACTACCTTGTCACTGCAAAGGGAACAAGTTACAAGTCCAACACACCCCCTGAAACAAAGCACTCCACTTTAAAAATGCCAGTCACATGTATATTGAGAGAAGAAACTCTAGGGGACTCACCTAGAAATGGCTCAGTCATCTATAGGAAAGCCACAGCCTCAACGTGGGAGAGCAGTTCTGCTACAGGTAGGGTATGCACTAGCTTACCATGTAATGGCTAGCTCTTACTAAGTATTTCAACATTTTCATCACATTACAATTTTTTATATGTCACCAGGATTCAACATATGATTGGTCATTCTAATTTTGCATTTAAAGAAGGCTCTCTGAGAATATGCTTCTCACTAAAAAAAAAATTTACAATTAGGAAAATTATGCACTAGTGGAGTTTAAACGATGACCTTTAAAAAATTACAACAGCCAGTCAGATTTGGATTCAGCTAGTATCTGTTACTAGAATAAGAAAAGAATATTTCACTTCATTTTCTCAACTATGTATAAAGTTGAATGAGGATGGGGGAAAACCAGAAAATACTTAGTTCCTGTTTATCCCAGCAAAACCAAGTCCTGTCTAAACCCAGCCTAGATTTGATTATGCAGGCTTATTTGGAAAAGATATGGAAAAACCTTACAGATTTTAACACCTCTCCTTTCTTACCCAGGGATTTTTACTGCGCCGAGACATTGCTTTTTTTCCCCTAAACATTAAAGCAGAAGTACATTTCACAGCTTCAAACAATTAACACTAACCTGGAATCAACAGTTTGCCTCTCTGAGAGCACTCTGAAGAGCAGAATTGGGGAACAAAAGACCTTATCTAGTTCCAATTCTTGCACTGGTTTATTGTGTCATTATAAGCAAAGTCAAATCACTGTATAATCTTTCCTTTTGTAATGCAGGACTCATACTTTATTGTCTTTAGAAAACTCACTAAGTAGTAAGTTTAGTGCTTAAAAACACTCCAAGTGACCAGAAAGGCCTATTTTATAACAGGTATCTCTGTAGCATTTTTTCTAAAACACACTGTGCATATATATCTTGCTGTCAATATAAAATATTAATGATTCAAAGGCCAGTTGCAAAAACATGACTAGTCAACACAAGGGCTTCAGTTCAGCAAGAGTCATCTCACAGAATCAAGGCCTTTGACTCTATTTTCACTTACTGTACACCTATTCTTTCAAAATAGCTGAAGTGGAATGCTGACAAATCTCATAGGCCTATGTTTCTTCTCTCTACTATGGGCTATACAACCACATGTCTCGTCAAAGCACATGTTGGTCTTTCCAGAGATCCTTAAACATACAGCAGAGAGATGGACTAAAACATTAACAAGCAGATAAACTGTCTGAGCCCTGCTCTAAAACCATACTCTTCCACAAAAATCACATTTCTTCTTATGGGACGTTATTTTTTTCACCAGTGTTCTTGGGTTCTTCAATTTTAGATTTTTACTTAAGTCTTATCTGCTTAATAATCTAACTACCCACTTCAGCACAAAAAATATAGATAAATTCATTAAAATTCATGTTAGCTACATTTCAATTTCAAGAAAGATTTTTTTTTTAAATTTTATTATTTTTTAAAACTAAAACCTTTTTTTGGTTACCAGGAAGAAAAAAGGCTGTCAATTATTTCTCATTTCTTCACACTGAGTGTCTCAGAGTAATACAACCAGCAGTTTCAGGCCAAATCTATACATCCAAAATGGGTCAGATTGCTAAAACATAAGCAGCACTTCTGAACCGCATTTAACTGTAATACATAGTGCTGAACACATGTATATTTCCATACTTCTACGTATTTTAAATTGTTAACTGATAAAGTTAAGCTGACAGCCTTCCCAAGGCCTTTCACCCCAACCACACTGACGTTCTGGAAACACTGGAGGCATTAGTAACAGTTGTTTAAAGTAGGCCCGTCTTCCATGTGCTGCTGGCATGGCCTCAAAGGCCACACACAGTCTTCTCCACACACATGCCACAAATATCAGGACAGGCAGTCCTGAGCTCAAATACTGGACTGTCATACTGAAAAGTTCTGTTCACATCTGCCGCAGCTTGGGGTGACTGACACCTGTCATTAAAGGCCGGGAAAGTGCTTGAAAACATCTGACTACAAAAGCAAAGCTGCTTAACATAAGCGAAAGGCCTCCAGGAGTTCTTCCTTTGCAGAAAAACTGCAGTGACCAAAAAAGGTGGAATACGGCAGCAACCCAAATAACGGCCAAGGGGGAAGTA